CGAATATAATGGCACGGATATAACGCCAAGGTGTTAGTATAGTGTCGCGGATATAATGCTTTCGGATTCTATGGTATGTTACCGAATATTTATGTGAAATATCATCTTGGACATTTTTATCGAATAAGGTGCTCAATAGATTTTGAAGAACGTCAATCCCGGGACAATCCGAACATGTTGATACATAACAATCAGATGATGGATTGGCACATAATCTGGATCTTGGATTCGCATCGATAGCTGATTTTTTTTCTTCTTCGTCAGAGTCATTATCAGAACCATCTTCGTCGTCGTCTTGATCAAAAGCTAACGTATCTGTTTGATTGTTTTGTATATTTGATAATTCTCCCATCGTTTGCAAAAAATCATTGTCTTTTTTTAAGAATAAAAGAACTATAAACAAGTTTTCTACGGTTTTTTTTAACAAATTATAATCCTTATTGTGGACAAACATGGCCATAATCTCCAACCAAAAACTAATTAATGTTTTATTTACATTTTTTCTATGCAAATATCTTGAATCCATTTTCATTACGTAAGGATAGCAGAAAAAAGAGGTGTAATAGATGCTTTCAGTCATTTTTGAGAAGTCATTGCATCATACGTCATCTCTAAATATTGGAATACTGAATAATTACTCCAGTTAAAAAGTATGGCGTTCATTTCAGCCCATGACTAGTCAGTGACCACAGCTTCAAATACAGGCCACTTCAACTTATTGGAGTTCCAGAAAGATTTGAAGAAAGCTAAAAATTTCTTAATATTATCAGCAGTTTGATCATTTGTGATCATTTTTAACACAGGGTAAATACGATGATCAATATTTACTACCCCAGCGTGATAATTGTCTTTTTTTGATTCTTTACAGGGCTTTCGAACGACTGAACCTGTAAAAACTAAATGGAGTTGTAGCAAGCCAATATATTTTTTCACTTGTTACTTGTTCGTCAACTCTTAAGTAGACAATCAATAGTGGATATGTAAACTGTCTAATATACTGATGATTTTTATTAGTTTCAGTTAGTCTCAGAGCAATGTCAGCACAATCATCTCGATGACGAGTTTTCTCACAAATCAATGCAGATCGAGCCTTTTGAAGAACTTCAAGACAATGAGCAGATTGAAAGTTTTTCTCGTTACGAGTGAGATCTTCATCCATTTCATTTATCAGCTCACTATGAATAGCTTAGGGTTGGCAAATCGTAAACGTTCCTTGATTTTTTGACGACGGCTGCTTGTCAATGCATAAGCAAGAAACTGTGAATTATTTAGTGTATCATTAGTAGAGGGGATGGAGATTTTCGTAGTAAAATTCACAGTCATTCCTCTCAATATGAACCGTACATTACGATTGGGTTGCTTACAATGAGCGTAGTCCCTAAAAGTATTGTTTTTGCTATTAGGAGCATCACATAGGTGATGTTTAATTTTTTCGGTAAATTATCTATCAAATACTGACTATATAAGGGCGGTGACACAGTTTCATTTTTGATGATTTCAGATGAACAAACCTTCACTGTTCCTACATGCTGATAACACCGGCCCACAAAGAAAAAGTGGTCTGTACTTTTGACCAGACCTACCTATCTTTATGTATTTTAACGCGCTGAATCCGAATCTAAAGTCAGTTTTACCCGTACACCCTCAAAATTTTGAGTAAAATGCAAAAAACCCAAAAATAAGGCAAAAAATTGCGGAAAACTGCAGTCACAGCAATGAAAAAATTTTTTTCGGACCCGAATCACGTATGATTTTCATGTATTTCAATTCACGGAATCTGAATCTAAACGTTAAGTAGCCCCTTGAGCGGTCATAATTTGAGAAAATTGCAAAAAAAACCCAAAAAAAATTGCAAGAAATCATGAAAAATCGGAATTATCGAGATTAAGAAAATTTTTTGAATTCAGATTAAGTATGATTTCTATGTACTTTGTTCCACTTAATTTGAATCTGAAATTTTCTTGTCCTATTGACGTTTTAAAATTAAAAAAATCTCAAAAAATCAAAAAATTCGAGAAAATTGCAGTTATCAATATGAGAAAAAAATCTATTAAACACGATCGTTGATGACTTAGTTGTATTTTCATGGATGGAATATGATCTTAGAATTGAAAAACTGACAAAATTTTAAAATCTGTAAAAAAATAGCATGTAAGGACAAAGTACGGAACCATGTTTTGTATCTAACTTTTTTATCTTCAAATGAGTTACGCAGAGGGTTCCTCTTACGTTTTCTGTTTTCTTCTAGTATTTTTTTTTAGCACCCAGCAAAAAATTAATTGAACTTGATTAAATTTATTTCTATTAACAAATATTTTTAAAAACAATACGAAGATAAGGATCGATCTTTCTGATTTTAAGCTGTTTTTTGCTTGTGTCGACGCCTTTTGTCTTCGTATGATCTACACAAAGGGTTTCTTTTTCGCTTTCTGTTTTCATCGGGTACATATCTCTCCAGTGTCCAGCAATGATCTGCCATCATATTGACATTCCACTTTCCTTGATATCGATTCTCCATTTCACTTATGTCTTGGTGGAATCTTTTGCCTTGCTCTTTACTGTAGTCGCCAAGATTTTCAGGAAAGTATTGAAGGTGAGAATGTAAGAAATGCAATTTAAGATTCATTAAGGAACCCACAATATCGTAATCCTCCAACAACTCTTCAACCAAATTTTCGTAATTTTCACTCTTATTATTTCCAAAAATATTTTGTGACACATCTTTAAAACTCGACCATGCTGCTCTTTCAATGTCGTTCATTTCATAAACGAAGTTATCGTCTAGAAACAAAGTCCAAATTTAAGTCCCATTAAAAATTCCTTCTTTTAATTTGGTATCACTTATAGCCGGAAACTTTTCTCTCAAATATGTAAAACAATTGCCATCTTTTTCCAGAGCTTTGCCGAACTGCTTCATAAGAACAAGCTTAATATGAAGTGGTGGTGGTAGGTAATTAGAAGAAAAACATGGTTCCGTACTTTCTCCTTACATGCTATTTTTACAGATTTTAAAATTTTATCAGTTTTTCAATTCTAAGATCATATTCCATCCATGAAAATACACCTAATTCATTAACAATCGTGTTTCATAGATTTTTTCTCATATTTATAACTGCAATTTTCTTGATTTTTTTGATTTTTTGAGATTTTTTTTAATTTTAAAACGTCAATGGGACAAGAAAACTTAAAATTAAAATTCAGTAATACAAAGTACATAAAAATCATACTCAATCTGAATCCAAAAAATTTTTTTAATCTCGATAAATTCGATTTTTCATGATTTTGTGCAATTTTTTTTTTTTGGGTTTTTTGCAATTTTTTCAAATTTTTACGGCTTGAGGAGCTACTTAACGTTTAGATTCAGATTCAGATTCAGGTCCAAAAAAATTTTTTCATTGCCGTGACTGCAGTTTTTCGCAATTTTTTGCCTTATTTTTGGGTTTCTTGCATTTACTCAAAATTTTGAGGGTTACGGGCAAAACTGACTTCAGATTCGGATTCAGCGCGTCAAAATACATAAAAATAGGTGGGTCCGGTCGAAAGTACAGACCACTTTTTTTTCTTTGTGGGCCGGTGTAATCTTTTAAATTATAGTTTTTTGTGGATGAAATAATGAAACTGTATTAATTAATTTAACTTATAAAAATCGATTATGCATTCGATTTGCATTAGTTGTAGGTATTTCCAGCTCTACTCTTCCAGTAAGTTTCGTAGGTAAACAGGTAGCGTGTTAATCTTTAAAGCATCAGGTCCCAGGTTCGATCCCCGCTCACGGTAAATTTTTTTTTTATTTTTAAAGAAATAATTATATATAATTATATCTAATTATATATGATTATATATGATTGTCTGGAAGAACAATTTTATAAAACTATAGCCCGAGTCGAAATTCAAGTTCCGTTTTAGCGGTAAAAGCGCGCCAAGTCGAAATTTAGGTTCTGTTTTAACGGTAAAAGTGTCTAAGCCCTTTGAAGTCTGATTTGCCGCTTCGGGAGACGTCTGTTTTGATTGCAGAAGTCGGTGCAGGTGAAAAATACCGTTAAAGCAGACGTACTTGGTTCTATTTTCGTAGTAAAAAATTTCATAGAATTTATTATTATTATTATTTTCATCATTAATTGTATATGTAATATCTTGTTATTGGGAATCCCTAGCGTTAAAATGTTGAGTGGTTCGAGTTCGAATCCCACTAGAATTTTTTTTTTCATTACTTTTTAAATAATAATAAAAATAATTTTAAAAAATAATAATAATAATAATAATAATAATAATAATAATAATAATAACTAGCAACCTTGCAGTGACTATGTGACTGCCGTGACTGGTGAACGATAAATAAATAAAATTTTGCCTTATTAAATAATGACTTTTGTTAAATTGCACTGTACTTCCTTAAATATTGACGTTTTTAAAGTATTAAACTCATCCCGATGTTACATTCATCAAGAGCTTTTATTTGGGTACCCACATGCATTTTTTATATATTTTTCATACATACATATATATAAATATATGAAAAATTTATGTAGGTACTCAAATGAAAGGTCTTGATGAGTGTAACATCGGGGTGAGCTTATATCTTCAAGAATGTCAATAGTTCACTAGATACAAGGTCATTTCTCAATTATGTATCTATACATAGAACTTTTTCAATTGCAGCCTAAATAATTATCATCATAAATTCACTATTGGTGAAAATGATATGAAACCTTGAAAAGGCACAACTCCGGATCAAGACTTTCCAAAAATACCAAATTTAACCATAAAAATCTATTTTATTATATAAATACACTGGCCACAAAACTTGCTTATTCTTTTAATAATATAGATAATAATAACAATTATTATAATAATAATGATAATAATATTCTCAGTCACTTTGATAAATTTATATTAGAAGAAATTTAGTATTTTTTTAATGAAAATTTAAGGAATCAGTTTATATATATTTGATGAAATTTTTCATAAAAGTAAAATCATTAACTGTAAAAAAAATTATTTTATTCAGAGTTATTAGAATTAACAGGCATAGCAACGTACAAATCGTCCTCAATTTTTATTTCAAAACAAACTGAAATTAATTGATCAATAGAGATAGATAAAAAATTGTTCATTCTTAAACATTTGTAAATGTATGAAATTCCGTATTCTAGATTCTGATCACCTTTTACTTCAAAAATCCTTTCACTTGAAACGGTTTGAATAATGGCTCGATGGATAGGTACTTGATGATTCAGACAATCTTCTTCATTCATACACTCACAGTAATTTAATTTTAGAAAGCAAATAATTGAGCAAAGATGATACCCAATATGATCCCTGTACAAAGCATACGACGATGAAGTTTGCTTCACTCGACCATATCGTTTAGATACGTAGAGCTGAGAGTTTTTTAATAAACGCAAATATTCTTGAATTTTTCGAGGTATTAACAAATTTGCTATAGCTTGCTGAACAAAATCAGGAATAATATAATGATCATTATAAATTTTATAAGAACCGATAGTATAACAACCTTCCTTGAGCCGTTCACAAATTTTATTATTATATTTCCGTTTTAGACAGAAATCTTTTATTTTTCCTTCTGGCAATTCATCAAAAAACCTTTGAAGTTTCAACTGCTGATTATGTGATCTTACAATTTGGGAATCAATATGGCGAGTTCCTTTGATTACATTTAAATATTGTCCATTTAAATCTTCGTATGAAAAACATTCGTGTGCCCACAATGGCCCAAGGGCAATCACACAATCAGACAGATGCAAAATAAGATGAATGTTGATCGAACAATTTTTTAATCCATACATAACTTCAAATTCGCGTATAAATTTATGTAACAAATTAGATGCCATATTTACATTTTCATTTGTAATTGAATCCAAATTTAAAAGAGAGATTCCAGCAATAAATAATGAAAAGTGGTCAAAATACTCTCGTTGCATTACTCCTTCTAAAACTGGCAAAGAATAATAAAAAAACCAATTTTTAAGTTCTGAAGCTTTCCAATGCAGGAGATCTTCAATACTACGAGGCATGCGGTGGACAAAGCTAGGTGGTTTTATAGCAACCAACCTGTTATTTATGATATTTGCGGCATCAATCAATGAATACGGTTCATTTCTGTTGCTGGAATCAAACCATAGTGATAACATTTTTTTTACTACGCCACCGAAAACACAATGCATCTGGTCTATAGCAGTTCCAACGATAAAATCAGGCATTAACTTCGATAAAGCACAGGGACTTTTGACACCCATATATGGGGAACCATTATTTAAAGCAATTTCTGCAAATTCAATACATCTCGCTGAAGTTCGTACCTCTGGATTCTGTGTGTATGGATAGACATGAGTATGAGAGCTACCATCGTCTGCTAGGCGATAGGTTTCTCCAGGCCATAAACATGATGGGCAGCCATAAGCACCCATATAATAAGTGAAATTAAAAAATTGGCATTTAGCAGGAAGATCACAAGTTCCTATTAGTAATACTGCTTTGACTTCTATGATTTGATTATCTGGTAAAGTAACATTTATACCATCAGATAAATTTTTAAACTGCTTGTAAAATTTATAAAAATAATTATTAGCATTAGGCTTTTGATCTCCAAACCACAATCCAATCAATAACACATTTTCTCGTTTTGTCCGCTCTTCAAAAGGTAATTCATTGATTGATAAGTACACTGGCCACATGCTTACTTTTGATGATTTATAAACTGGTATGTCATCAGTGTACCATGTTAAGGAAATATTATCTCTATTTGCTAAAAAACCATTTGTAATTAATTTCTGATACAGACTTCCTTTATTCACATCACTAATATTTGGACTATTATCTTCTAAATGAGCCTGAAAACGATGTTGCAGACAATCGTAGAATCCTGATCTTCGATATAGTTCTCTTAGTTGATACTTGACAGGAATTTCAATGAAATAAGCCTTTTTTCTAGATTCGCAGTCATCACAGTTGTCATTTTCGTTTTCTAGATTTTTTTGACAAGTTACACAGTAGAAATGTTTTTTTTTTTTACTTTCCCTTTCTTAGAAAGTGAAAAAAATTTTCGAAATTTATGTAAGCTATTTTTGAAGCTATTATTATTTTGAATACAGTGTAAGTTGATGATGGTTATAATATCACTCAAACAGGTTTGAGTAACATTGTGCCGGACAAGTAAAGATAATATTAAAGACATACTTTGACTAACAGTTAATGGAGCACCATCATATAATAGTTGCTCATAATCAAAGTTCCTTACATTATCTTCGTCTTCCTCATCACTGTCATCTACTGTTTCATTTTCACTATCCTCGGTATCTTCATTTCTATTAAGTACTTCTTCATCACGTTCATCCCGGTTACTTTCTTCTTCACCTTCAACCTGGCAAAAAAATTTCATTGAATTACTTATCAATTCAAGAAGTTATTTTGATGATGTATATTAAAATTTCATGATATAAGAGTGCTATAAATATGTCATAATGAGTACATATATGTACTATTTTTATGAAACTGAAGTTAATCGTTAGCTGTCAATTTTAAAAATTTTTTTAACAAATCAATTATAGTAAAAAAATTCTTTTAAAAATTTTTATTTGTAACTTTTATTAATTTTCACATGTAGAATGTTTTAATTAATTTCTTTTTTATAATAATTTAATTGCTATAAAATTCTAAAAAAAATTCTAATGTCTGTCAACTTCAGTGTCATTAATTTTTTTATTATCTGGGAAATTAATTTTATCCTGTACTTTTTATTTCATGAAATTATTAATATACATAAGCTATCACAATTTTATTTGTAATGAAAACTCAAAGCTAATATCTTACCTCATGATCATTTATTTGCTCATTTAATCTGTCAACATAATCATAGTCACCGATTCCATCATTTACATTAACAATTTGATCATTTAATTGTTGATATAACCTGTTATCAAAGTCACGATCGCCATTGATTTCATTATTTACAGTAACAACTTGATCATCCAATTCTTCATGTAACCTGTTACTACAATCACGACCACCATCGATTTGATTATTTACAATAACAACCTGATCATCCAATTGTTTATGTAACCTGTTAGCATAATCACGACCACCATCGATTTGATTATTTACAATAACAACCTGATCATCCAATCGTTCATGTAACCTGTTAGCATAATCACGACCACCATCGATTTCATTATTTACATCAACAATTTGATCACCCAATTGTTCATTAAATCCATTATCATTATTATCGTCATCACTGTCGTCATTATTCACATTCACAATTTTCCTTAAATAATGAAGTTTGCGTTTTTTGGAATAATCATTGTAACTTTTTCTTGAGTTCCTATCCATCGTTTTTATTGTATCATTAGTTAACTTTAATTAGTTATTTTAATTATTTTTTAATATAATATTTTTTAATATGATACACTTTATCAGCTGTTACTCGACTGTACATGTACATGTAGATGTATGAAAACATAATGCCTGTTTACAGCTGGAAATTTTTGTGCGCATGTCTCAACATCCGCCATATTTTTAGGGCAGTTTATATCTCTCTGAACAGTGTACAGTGTATGTGTATATGTTGTGGGCCTAGCTATTCGTGTGAGGAGTACCTGAAAATTTTGAATTGCCGCTTTGAAAACATGGCGGAAGCGCTTGCGCTAAAACTCTCGTAATATAGTAGATCAGGTCATTTCGTTATTACCGACTAAGAAAAAACTACTAAAGAGGCGCTGTGCTGACATACGACGTCATCAGCAGCCATCTTGACTTACAAGGGACATTGTATCCGCATTTATTTCTACGTTGGTTCAGATATTGTTTACGAACTATTTATAAACTAAAAAAAATTCAAGTAATTATTATGCCACCTAAAAAAGAAAATAAAAAAAATAAAAATAAGTACGTGTTAATCTGGTAGGTAGTTGATGGTCAAAAAACTATAATGGAGTTGAATAAAATTCCAAAAGCAAAACGTATTAAAAACGAGACTGTGAAGTTAAGATGGGAGGGAAAAGACGGGAAAAAAAGTTTTTATTTTGCAAAAATTATTGAATATGGAGGTAAGTCTTTATCTTGAGTCGTGAATATAATAACTAGTAAGCACTAAAATTATTTATCAGCAGAACTGACCGTAATAAATAAATACGTTTATTTTACAGAAACAATTCAGGAGCTAGAAAATGTACGTTTAGATAATAAAGGTAATGTTTGTGATCAATCGACTAAAATGTATTCAGAAAATGTATTGCAACAGAAAAAAACAATAGATGTGTCAAAACAGTTGAGTAAAGAGTTTACAAAAAAACATAATATTGACATGGAACGCAAGATTATTCATCAAAAGGCCATCTTTTCAATTGATGAACAGCCGTTTTCTGAACGTCATAAAGATAAAATAACAAAATTTAAAAATGTAAATGAAGGAAAAAAGTTGAGTAAAAAAAATCATCAAAGCTCTGAACCATCGGAGCAAGAATTGATCAATCATCAAAATACTCCATCAAATGTAAATACCCTTGAGATCACTCACACTGCTAGTCAGCAAGATGTAACGATTGATAAATCAATAAATTTCTTTGATAAGTCTTCTTCTCATCCATTTGATTCAAATAATTCATTAATTGATCAAATTCATCTTGAAAATTCTACTGAGAATAGTGAATTAGACCTAGCTCCCATTTGGAACAGCAATTATTTGAATAATTGGTCAAATGTGAACAATCCAGTTATGATTGCTCAAGATTTTCAATTCCAAGGTTTTAATGAAGCAGATCAAGTTTTATCTTCTACTTATTTGGAAGTTGGAAGTTTGGAGAAAGGAGTATGCAATACTCCCATATCGAAATTTCCTTCTAGTCTCACGGAACCGAATCAAAAGAAAAATAGTACCATTTTTCGACCTTGGGATTCATTAGAAGCTGCCAAAAACATTACTACTATAAATACGTCTACTACTTCTAACATTTTTATAAGTTCAGAATCTACTGAAGAAGAATTATGTTTGGAATCTACTTCTGTAGAAGTATCTGCTGACATGAATATACCTATTTGTCAATCAAATGATTTGGAGGACAGAGAAAGGACAATTAACGTTGGGTCATTAGCTGCCCGATGAAAAAAGATTTTGTCTAATCATATATAATCATGCATAATCGTCTATATATGATCAGATCCAAAAATTGGCCAGGTCTGATCATACATGACTTGATCTGATTATATATGAACAGATATGATTATATATGATCATGTATAATCACTCATGTATAATCAGATCCACAAATTGGCCAGGTCTAATCATACATAACTTGATCTGTTTATATATGAACAGACATGTTTATATATGATCATGTATAATCATACATGATCAGATCCAAAAAATGTCCAGATCTAATCATATCTAACTATATCTCGTGAAAAAATATTCTGATCAGACTTAATATAAACATTGGAAATATCAGACTTTATCAGGGTTGATATGGCCGTGTCAAGATGTTGACAAACCTGAAGCCTAAATAAATTTGATGAATAAATTTACATTTATAATAAAGCTGATACATTTATTTTAGCTGTCTTTACATCTTTCTTCAAAAACAGATAAACTCATTAATAGAGTACCAAAATTCTACTCTTTTCGGAACTTAACACTTCAAAGTCAAGTATCTAGAAAGGAACAGTTCTGCGGCCATGCGCCATCTATCGAAGACTTTTAATACTAGTTTCGACAGTGCGAAATGTGTGATTGTTCCATGGTGATGTCTTTTATTTGTAACTAATTAAAATGTTGTCAGATTTATAAATATTTCATTGATTATTTTAATATTTCCAAAGTTCTCAAATAATTTCAATACTCCATGAATGAATAACTGAAAATTACGTTTCATGATAAATTGATAAATCATACACATAAGATTTTTTCATTTGGCATAAAATTGCATGAAAAAGAATAATAATATCAATTTCATATTGTATTTAAAAAATAAAAAAAAATTTACTTTTTGTAAATTTTAAACCGGATAAAACACGGTAACCGATTGGTTCTACAACAGTAATTTTTTTTTTTAAGTTTTTTAAAAATGTAGAGTAATTTGAAAAATATGTAAAATTTATTTATTTTCATTTAATTAATAAAAAACTAATTTTTTATAATAAAAAATAATATTTATAAATATTAAATAAATAAATATAAAAATAATATTTATAATAAAAATTAATAAAAAATTCTAAAATATTAATTTCTCAATTAAAAAAAAATTTTGTGAAAAAATTGAAAAGTAAATAATTGAAAAGTTCTAAAGCAACTTTGAAGATTTTTTTTTAAATTCACACACTTTACCTTTTCATAATTTATACCGTAAATCTGCCATTAAATATATTAAATAAAAAAAATTAAAAATGTTGCGTTACAGATGCCATAAGGGCGTATAAAAATTATAAGCTCTTATAGCACCCGGAAACCTTAAGGAAAAAAAATTTTTCGTTTGACAAATTTTCTTTTTCTTTTCTCGATATTTCAGGTAAAAATAAGTTAATTCCCAAAAAGAAAAATTTTTTTATACGCCCTTATAGCTCCCAAGATCCATCTCGGAAGTCATAAGGGCGTATAATAAAAATTCTCTTTTTTTTCTAAGTCCAAAAAAATTTTTAGTTTGAAGAAAAATTTTTGTTTTACATTTCTACACGTTTCATACAAAAATACATCGGTTGCCAAAAAAAAATTTATTTTATACACCCTTATGGCATCCGAAGTGGGTCCAATTTAAAATAATTAACTTATTTTTACCTGAAACGTCGAGAAATGCAAAAAAAAAAATTTTTTCAAACTAAAAATTTATTTTGGACTTAAAAAAAAAAATTGAATTTTTATTATACGCCCTTATGGCATCTATAACGCAAAATTTTTAATTTTTTTTATTTAATATATTTAATGGCAGATTTACGGTATAAATTATAAAAAGGTAAAATGTATGAATTTAAAAAAAAATCTTTAAAGTTGCTCTAGAACTTTTCAATTAATTATGTACTTTTCAATTTTTTCACAAAATTTTTTTTTAATTGAGAAATTAATATTTTAGAATTTTTTATTAATTTTTATTATAAATATTATTTTTATATTTATTTATTTAATATTTATAAATATTATTTTTTATTATAAAAAATTAGTTTTTTTTAGAATGTTTTGAACAATTAAGCTTTTGATTTTCATTCCCTCTTTTATTAGCAGAATACTTATTAATAGTAGCGTTAAACATTTTACTGGTTATTATTTTATTAGGACCAACTTTTTTCTTAACCCAATCTGTAAAAAAATATTCATGTTAATAAAGCAATTATCTACTAAATAAATGATAATAGATTATAACAGTTTTACCAAATATTGCATTGTATAATTTAATGTTTATTGGTGGCCGTCCATTAGCATCTTTTCCTTTAGCTGAATAATTCGATATATTATCGTCATATACTTCTTTCAAGGCTAATTTGACAATAGTTTCCCAGTCACAACTGCCATCTTCTTGTTCGCTCGTTTTTTCAATTTGTTTTTTAACACTAATGGGAAAGTAAATTTTTGAGCCTGATGCAATTTCAATCTAATAAAAAAGTTAATAATTTCTTACTTCTGATTTTTATAATCAAATCTATAGTTATTGTTTATATTGAGAGGCTGAAACTAAACGACAATCAGCGTAAAAACAATTATTGAAAGGTGACAAAAACTGTAGACACTATATTATTGGCTTCTCCAAGAAAGCTTACTAAAAAAATCATTTTTGAAATTTATAGTTCTTTAGTTCTCGCCTTATTGAATATTAGATGAATAAAAGAAATTAATTAAATTTTACATGTACCATCTGGTGTTCACCAGTATGAGTATATAAGTCCGGTATCTGTAAGTAAATAAAAATGAGTAAATTTTTTAGCAAAACTATAGAAATGTAAATAATTTTTAATATAAAAATTAAATCGTTTTACGTTGAGTACTTGAGAAGACTGTCGATTGTATCTTTGATATGACTCGTAAGCTTGTTTTATAGATTGCTCCAACATCCGAAAAAAATGTAGTTCAGTTTCCCTCACTGAAAACATTGTTCATTAATAAATCCGTTGACATCTTTAAAAAACTATTAAAAAAATAAATATATTGTACTATAACTATCCATTGCATTTTTCAATGTTCGTTGAAATATTTAATTTTAAAAATTAGCGAGTAGCAATTGAAAAAATCACTAATGAATTCGAATAAAATTAAGTTGGAAGTTTCAAAATTGATTATTTATGTAACTTAGAGCACTAGTTAATCAAAAAACAAAAATTATTTAAGTTGATTTTAAAAAAATATTTACAAAATTTATTGTAGATATTTCGGAGTTAGATAGCTCAATTTTTTATCAATAAATAGTTATAGATTTTTTTATTAAAAAATTGGTAGCTCCGTTTCAAAAAATCAAAATTAATTAAAGAAACCTTCATGCTTTAAGTATGCACCCGATGAAAAAAGTTTTTGTCTAATTATATATGATCATATATAATTAGACAAAAACTTTTTTCATCGGGTGCATACTTAAAGCATGAAGGTTTCTTTAATTAATTTTGATTTTTTGAAACGGAGCTACCAATTTTTTAATAAAAAAATCTATAACTATTTATTGATAAAAAATTGAGCTATCTAACTCCGAAATATCTACAATAAATTTTGTAAATATTTTTTTAAAATCAACTTAAATAATTTTTGTTTTTTGATTAACTAGTGCTCTAAGTTACATAAATAATCAATTTTGAAACTTCCAACTTAATTTTATTCGAATTCATTAGTGATTTTTTCAATTGCTACTCGCTAATTTTTAAAATTAAATATTTCAACGAACATTGAAAAATGCAATGGATAGTTATAGTACAATATATTTATTTTTTTAATAGTTTTTTAAAGATGTCAACGGATTTATTAATGAACAATGTTTTCAGTGAGGGAAACTGAACTACATTTTTTTCGGATGTTGGAGCAATCTATAAAACAAGCTTACGAGTCATATCAAAGATACAATCGACAGTCTTCTCAAGTACTCAACGTAAAACGATTTAATTTTTATATTAAAAATTATTTACATTTCTATAGTTTTGCTAAAAAATTTACTCATTTTTATTTACTTACAGATACCGGACTTATATACTCATACTGGTGAACACCAGATGGTACATGTAAAATTTAATTAATTTCTTTTATTCATCTAATATTCAATAAGGCGAGAACTAAAGAACTATAAATTTCAAAAATGATTTTTTTAGTAAGCTTTCTTGGAGAAGCCAATAATATAGTGTCTACAGTTTTTGTCACCTTTCAATAATTGTTTTTACGCTGATTGTCGTTTAGTTTCAGCCTCTCAATATAAACAATAACTATAGATTTGATTATAAAAATCAGAAGTAAGAAATTATTAACTTTTTTATTAGATTGAAATTGCATCAGGCTCAAAAATTTACTTTCCCATTAGTGTTAAAAAACAAATTGAAAAAACGAGCGAACAAGAAGATGGCAGTTGTGACTGGGAAACTATTGTCAAATTAGCCTTGAAAGAAGTATATGACGATAATATATCGAATTATTCAGCTAAAGGAAAAGATGCTAATGGACGGCCACCAATAAACATTAAATTATACAATGCAATATTTGGTAAAACTGTTATAATCTATTATCATTTATTTAGTAGATAATTGCTTTATTAACATGAATATTTTTTTACAGATTGGGTTAAGAAAAAAGTTGGTCCTAATAAAATAATAACCAGTAAAATGTTTAACGCTACTATTAATAAGTATTCTGCTAATAAAAGAGGGAATGAAAATCAAAAGCTTAATTGTTCAAAACATTCTAAACACCCAGATGCAAGTAAGTTATTAAGCAATAACAAATATTTTTACTTTTTATATCTTAAAACCAAATTTATTTAACTTAATCCTGAACAAAGAAAAAAAAATAACATTATAGAATATTATAGAATATAACGAATATAGAAAAATAACATTATATTCTTACCAATAAATGAATAAGGGTTAGTGCTTTATAAATGCTTGTTAATCCATTTGTAAAATTTATTTATAAATTTAAAAATAACATAATTTAAGCTCTATCAAATAAACTGATGAAATTTTTATATTATTTGGTAACGGAAGAAAATTTACTTTTCTTTCAAAAAATTGTGAAAATTTCTGAAGAATCTTATAACATGCAACAAAAAGAAATGTTACCTGAACGACAAACGCACCAGGTATGATTTATATACATCTACTTGTTTTATAAACTTATAAACAAAATTAATAAAACGGTTGACATTTCAAATTTTTTTTCCATGATTTCAGCTATCAAATGTTTACACTGAACCGGCACCAATAAAAATAAAAATAAGTCCCCATTACGAGATTTACTTACCAAGAAGTACTCACCTCTACATAGAGCGAAAAAGTGAAATTGCTAGAGGAAAATATGACTGGCGTATTTTGGTAAAAGAAACATTGTTAGAGGTTTATGGTGATACCATAAAAAATTATTCGGCTAAAGGAGTTCGTGGTGGATCTCCAGGTATCAATCCAGAACTATATCGAGCACTTTATGGTAAGTCAATAACTAAATTTATGTTAGTTTTTCTTTTATAGCTATAATTTTTAACATGAAAAAGTTTTACTGATTTAGGCTAATTATAAAGATATGGATTCTTCACATTGATAATTTCTATAGAACTGATAAGATAAATTTTAGCTTCTAGAGTAAGAACCTTTGAAAATTAATTATAAGTTTACCTGGTTAAACAAAACATTTTTTTTTTAAATCTTAAAAAACTGTATTGCAATCAGAACAAGTGAGATTTTCCTTAACGTTCATTTCAAATTGAATTTTCACAACCCGAGATAAAATTTTTTTGATCTCCCAAGATGTCAACGAGGCAATTTTTAGATCTACGTATATCTTAGTAGATATAATTTAATCAAAAAATTAGCGAACTTCTGTAGAATTAGCGTAGATCTACGTAGATCAAAAATAATTTTTTCCGGAAATCTACGCTCATATAATCATAAAACCTAATTAACTGTTTTATGAGGTAAATTATAGTGAAGCTAATTTATTTTAGACTGGGCAACTACGGTAACTGATGAAGAATGCATCCTAGATTCTCAATTTGCAGAGTGTGTAAATCAAGTAACGAGAAATAAAAGGAAAGCCAAAAAAATTAAAGGACAGAAAATGCAACCCCAAGAAAATTAATATACTTTTATTATTATTATTATTATTATTATTATTATTATTATTATTATTATTATTATGTTATTAAATGCTCAGGGGGGTTGTCCCCGGAGTCCGACTCTCCGAGGGCCCAGCCTGAGCTCCATCCATTACTGCTGGACCACTCCGCACAACAAGG